GTGTCCCACATACAAGCCATGCTTCTAACACATAAAAAAGTATATTTACACTAGTAGGTTGCTTTCTTCACGGGCGCTTCCTTTACGAGATATGGTGTTTTCACTTCCGCAGATTTTATTTGTTACGGGCACAGGTGGCTATCTCTCCGCGGACGTTTTTTATATGTGCCTGTATACCAAGCTCAGCGCACTGTTGCAAAAACTCATGCAGTGTGGATGCTCGCAAAGTATCTCGAGAGAACTCAGCCGAGAATACCACCACAGCTGCTGTATTTGTTTTTCTTATGTACTTGCTCACCGGGCATGTAGTTTTTCACGCTTCCCTCACAGTTATTTCGGGGCTTCATCTCAGTAAAAAAAAAAAAAACGCCAGGCCTGCGCGTAAGGCGCAGCACAGCTACAGCGAAAGCTAGAAGAGCGGCTTTCCAGGGTCTTTCCAAACAATCATTGGGTAACTGCTGTGATCACACTTACTTGGTACCCACTATGGCATTACAAATTATTTCTGGGTGGTAGGCTGGTATTCGCCATGATATCCTTCGTGATTCTTCTGACGAGCGTTGTATTTGCAAAACACTTGAAAGGAATTTTGTGCCGATTGCGCATGCAGTGGCTGATGACGAATAGGAAGCATGCTGGAAGTGGGTATGCCCCACAGTTAATACGTAATCAAGAATAAGCTTTTGTAGTGGTTTGGAGCATTGGACGACCCACTCGTTACTCTATTCGCGTCGTAGGATGCCTGGTTGTTATTTTGCCATTCTTAAACGCTTTATTACTCATAATAACGCGATTAATTTCCTGGCATCAAGCCTGCCTAATGCAAGTTTGCAAACAAGTCCCAAGCACAGGCATGACTCGGTGATAGAATACTGGGCTGGCGTGCAGCGGACCCGGTTTCGAGCCCCACTGTGCCCTTAGTACTAGTTATTTTTATGGTTTCTGCGATAGTGGTGACGGACTCCAGCTGTGGCGGTGGCGGCGAACAAATATACGGCGCAGCGCTTGACTTGAGTTTTGATCTCGTAACAGATTTCGTTGTAAAATGAGTTGAGGTTAAATGCGAAACCTTCATGCAGCGTAGTAGCAACCGCGCTGGTACAGTCGTAACTACCGATTAAGATAGCCCGCTAGTAAATTAATTTTCCTTACATTTGATTACACACTAGCTTCATTACCTTGCGTGTGGATATTATGGGCGAGATCAGACATTGACTCATTCATGTCAGCACAAGGTCAGTTACGTCGCCAGGAGTGCTATCGAAAGAGATCGCAACGTTCTTTCGACTTTAAACTGTTTGCATTGCAAACGGTTGCTATCAGTAGTGCTTCCACGTGAATTGACTATTATCGCTTGTGGCACGGCATTTGATTGGACCAGCTGTTCATGGAAATCGGAATTACAGCCACGTAATTCCACGTGTCCATTTGTACAGAAGAAGCATTTTACCATTTCCTGAAGGTTTCGGGTGTGTACACATAAATTTGTTGAACATTAGAGATTTATCAAAACACCTTTATAGTTGATTCACCCAACGTCCCTTTCACCAAGAAGCCCAACTTTGTCAGATCACTCGAACTATTTGCACAGAAACTCTAATTTCATTTGTAATTTTTTGGACACATGTTGTAACCCTGGAGTGTATGCCAGGTGGTAATGTAGCTTGAACCATCAGCATAAGGCCTTTCAGCACCAGTTTGCTGGCGTAAGCGGGGGTAATCAATGGTTATAGACGGTTCGTGAAAACAACGAATGGCTTGATGTGATGCACTACCACGGGCGCTGGATAAAAAAGCGCACGGTACGGCCTGCCGCGTCGAGCGGCTTTCTATGGGAGAGCGCGTGGCAGCCGTAGGCTCAGTTGCGGCCGCTGCAGCGCGACGGAGCGGGGACGGGTAAGACCCCTGGGGCTTTAGGGACGGGAGGGACCCGGAAACGAGTGGCGGCGGCTCCTTCAGGGCAACAGCCACAGCAAATTAGCTGGTGTTTGTCACAACAGTGACCCACTAAGTTGTTCTAATCAGTGTTTTTTTTAATCACATTTATCACAGTGACGCCATATTGCATATTTAGTAGACAACGAAGTGCTATCTAGTTAAAAAGCAAATTGATTTTTTTCTGTGCGTGCCGAGCACCTGACTTCTTTTTTTTCCGAACCAGCTTGTTGCTCTGAGGCTGAGAGGAAAATTCACAATGCATGTAGCTGACTGATATAGCACTGAATTCTTGACAAAGTCATTGTTCTATTGATAGAGATGTCTTAAACTAACAAATTTTGAGTATCGTGACGTTCATTCAGCGCTCTCGCGTTTTCTCAGCCGGAATGCTTGATAATTGATTTTTGGACACTTTACAGTAGACATTTGTAGCTTTTATATTCAGAAAGCATATCGAAGAAACATAATTTAAATATACTTCATGTTATCCGGTACACGGCAGTGTGCCGGAAAGTAATTAGGCTTCAAACGGTAGATAAAAGTGGTCTCTACGCACATGGTGACGCGCTCCTCGTAACGTTCCAGAAGACAGGCGCGTTGGAGTGCTATTGGCATTAGCCAGTGCCCGTGGTGAGGCTGACATGAATAGACCGAACGGATGGTTATATTGTCGATAGACACAGAAGCCAAAAGTTGGTCACAGAAGCAGGAGCTATTGTCAAGTCGTTTTATTATGCAAAACTGTAAAGAAGTGAAAAAAAATATTAGGAATGCCAGGATGAGCCCTAAATGGTGAATAAATAAAATATTTTCACGCATTATGTTTCGGTTATGTGTTCACTGTTGAATTAGTTGCATCATCATAAGAATGTCGGGATGAAAAGAGACGAAAACATTCAAAAGCGCAGGAACGCAAGCGGTTGTGTTTGCATTGTGCAGCATTTTATGTTTCTTTTCTACTTACAGTTTTCATATTATTCACTTGAGAACTACTTGCTCAATTGCCAGCATTGAAATTACAGTCATAATATTTCAAAAAGGCTCGAGTCCACTGTTACAAGATGGCACACGTGCTAAGTGTATTTCGTGGCTGTTGCATCTGATACAGCATTGTATGAATACTATAGATGTGTTTGGAGGAAATGAGTAGTCTATCTTATTTTGTGTTAAAGGAACAGTGGGAACTGCAGTTGCTGAGGGTACATATTCTAAACAAAATGATTAAATCTGAAGCAACGTTATCTGAAGCGACATACTCAGTTGCTATAAGTAATTTAGATGCATTTGAAAAGTGTAGCTCTTCCAGATCTGTTAGTTGTGATCTCGCAGGGTCTGAGTAAAATGTGCTCACAATTCTTACTTCCACGTAAACTGATCGGTGTGCAAGTTTCATCTCGGGTAAGACAATACCAAAAATTTTCAGGGGCTGCAGGTATCTAAAAGCAATGTCAGTAATTACCTGGTGCGCACACGCCACATGGATGTTAAAAGACGATTTCTCGGGTCACACAAAGATGCGCGCGCTCAATCCTAACTACCGCAAGTGCACCGCGCATGCGATTCTATGGGCGCTCGCGAAAACTGTACCCCCCCCCCCCCCTTCCAGTGGCGCCACACCGGTGGTTCGGGAACTAGACCTGTCACGCCGGTTTCGGAGCACGCGGTGGGCCACGCTCTAAAAAAATATCGATTAAAAGGGGTGTCTTTTTGTCCCACAACAATAATCGTCATCAGGCTTGCATGCGCTTCTTTTCTTGAAAACTCGGCGCTGGCCACTTTCCTATCGAGAATGCAATGTAACCCTGATATTGGGCATGTCGATCGTGACCGGAATGTACCGGGCGCTGGGCGATAGCGCAAGAATGCAACGCCATATAGATGACGATTATTGTTGTGGGACAAAAAGACACCCTTTTTACTCGCTCTTTCTTTAGAGTGCATACCCGTGCGCTCTTTCATCCAGTGACCGTGGCACTATCATTTCCACAGTATATGTTACGTTCAGACGGGGGTTTTACGCATTAGATTATCGCAGCTTTCTGCACCTAGATTTGTGGGGTTTAACGTCCCAAAACCACCATATGATTATGAGAGACGCCGTATTGGAGGGCTCCGGAAATTTATACCACCTGGGGTTCTTTAACGTGCACCCAAATCTGAGCACACGGGCCTACAACATTTCCGCCTCCATCGGAAATGCAGCAGCCGCAGCGGGGATTCGAACCCGCGACCTGCGGGTCAGCAGCCGAGTACCTTAGCCACTAGACCACCACGGCGGGGCAACTTTCTGCACCTCACTCAACTTTCTCTGGTAGTGTGATTACCCCATTCAGACACTAATTAAGATTGCATATTCAGAAACGCGTCAAACGGCGTGGCATAATTCCAAGGCACTCAGTATTACATTATAAAAAAAAGAAAACGAATGAATGTGTTGTTTTGCATGAGTTGCCCAATACAAAATGATTAGTGTGCAACAAAATATGTAATTATGTGGCTACCAGCCAGCTTCAGTACTTGCACAAAAAGAATCAACAATTAGGTCCGATATGCAGGCACAATTATTTTTTTGTTGTATTCGTTTCTAACAGGGGAAAAATACGTCTCACATTCGTCTTAGGCCATGGCACGTCGAACAATTGTGGAACATGGTTTTCAGCAAAGTGATCCTCTCGAGCAATACTGAGCACGCAGAAATCTAATAACTGCTAGCTGTTCATTTAGAAATCCTGCAGAAATCTGCACGCCGAGTTTCAAGCTGCTTGAAAAAACAGGCGGCATGTGACGCGCCTTTGAATTTCATGTCCACAAATATGGACGCATTGACTGAAAGCGGTACACGGGGTACTTATATCTTGGTAGATATGCATCGCAGCAATGAGCAGTTATCACCACCCTATTGCTCAGGAGTGGACGCACGGACGCCGAAAAAAAAAAGCGATACTCAGCTGCGGACAAAGCGAGTTCTTGCCGTAACGCCACTTCGCCTCGACTGCCGCGCTGCCAGTTTTCGTCCTCAGGACTAACAGCCAGACGTGTCTTCCACGTGTTTTGGCTTGCCTAGAGCTAAGCCACTCCAAATCCGACGACGTTCCAGTGCTCCCATGCATACGATGTTAATCTGCTCTTCCACTCGTTTGTATTATTTCTATAGGGACGGTCCTCCGACAGCTCATCAGAGGAGAAAGTAACTCAGCAGGGTTAACACCAGTTTTCTTGTTTTTTTTTAATAGTGTCGGGAGGAACTGGCCCCATCGTGGCTGGAATTCTCGTCGTGCTTGCCATCGGCGTTACTGGAGCTGTGATTGCTGTGATCCTGCTCAGAAGAAGACGGCGAAAACAGTAAGTTCTCCTCCAAAGTGCATAGACAGCTTTTCTCCAATTCTTTCTCATGTAGAAAGCTTAAAAATCTTCTTCAATGAACATGACATCGCCAGGAATTGAAGCAAAGACTTCTGGCTTGCTTGGCCAGGGCGATCCGGTAGGTGTTCACCGGGCCTGACTGTGCATTGAGTGCATTCAAACGGGACAGAACCTCAGAAGATGCAAGCTTGAAGGGGTCGAAAATCTTTGAGCAAGGGGTGTCACCAAACCTAACGTTTCGACAAATGCTCTTGTATTCTGTGATGAAGGCCCTTTGTCGAACGCTGCCTTAAACAATAGAGTTTTTGTCAAAACGTTGGTTTCAGCTACACTGATTGATCACGCACACTTAATATCAAACACTGACACGTGTAAGATATTGTGATGATTTACAAGTTTGTTTAAATAGCTTTCATCCCAGCATTCTGCTTAGGACGGAACAAGCTGCTAATAGGCTCCGCTACCAAGAAGGTGGACCAGGGGAGAGGGAGATAGACTACATCTAACTGTCAACTGACAAGCCCACCCTTGCTCCTCCGTAACATAAGATTTGACCCAAGAAGATGGTCTATGCAGCTGCAACATGGACCTTGACTGCTAAAGTATTACATTTCAAGTTTTATGTTATCGCGGTACGCTCTGAAAAACATAAATAATAACAAATTTCTGCTTCATACCTCTTATTGTGCGGCTTCTGAAAGCTGCAGGTTTTCTATTGGATAGATTCCAAAAGCAGTCATAACTCAAGCTAAATGTAGCCAAAGTAGCAAAGCCATTTAATGTTATCAGCAGATCTCTACTAAAACTCTATAAAATGGATGTAAGGAAAACGTTTCTATTACTGAGCAAGGAGCATTAACATTTTGCTCAGGAGGAAAATAAAAGTGTACTTTACTTGTCTTGCTTGGCTTTCGAGTTATAAGCAAGTTGAAAGTACACGAAAAATTTTTTAAGTTTGGACACCTGCATATCACCATGTTAAGAAAGGCGCAGTTATTGCCAGGGACAAAGTAAGACTTGAAGAATAAACTCGATCTATCAGAGAAAAAACTATAGTCGTTGAAAGTGATTGTGCTTGAAGTTCTGGACACAAAAAGAGCAGTAGGTGCATTAATGCCTCTAAAGCTTGAAGCTGTGACATATCTTTGAAGATGCCTAGTCCAGCTCAATCTTGTTGCGGATATCTGTTTTTCCCAAGTTCTCGAAGAACACAGGTTGTGCATCTGCATAGAATCTGGCTCGCTACATCATCATTGAAGGCAGGCAGCGTAAACCATGTGCTTGCTTAAAGGCGTACTTCAATTTTGACGTTTAATTTGCATGTTCTCTAATCATACAACTTGCCCATTTTTATTTTTTATTTATATATATTGAGCTCGTCAATTCTTGGCCAATCTTCTAGATTCACTGTATGAGTCCCATTGACTAAGAAAACAAGAACCAGGGCTTCCTTGAAAGCTCTGGTTCTTGTTTGGAACTTTTTTTTGGAAGGCATACAGAGCATTGTGCTGAGATGATTCGATGGGCAGTAGACCACAATGCGTTAAGTCTCGATGAGCAAGGGACTGTCGGTGTGTTGAGGATACACTCACGCATCGGCTCACGCGTCATAAAAGATTGGAGTAGTAGGGTAGTCGACAAGCTTCTTCAGTATTCACTCAGCAACTAATAAGAAAAATTTCTATTAAATATTTCTTCTAGAAATATTCGAAGCACACAGAAAGTATCTATAGTACCAACCTGAAACTTTTGTTGCCTGACTCGTTGTTAAGAAACGCTTCTCCTAATGTGAATATCGGCTTACTTTTTTCTGAACTGCCTTGGGGGTAGCAGCCTTTTCACTCTGATGACAGGCAGGTCATATGAGAGTAATTATTCTTATTACGTGTCACGTGGTACACAGAAGGGAGAAAACAAGCCATCGGGTCTTTAGTTAACATAAACATAAAATCTCGTTGCACGGAAAATGTTAATTACAGAAAAGCACTAGTTCACTAAATTTTCCCATGCTTCGTCTCTTTACTATTGATTCAAGTGATTCTCCTTGTTTTCGTGCTTCATGTTTTTAGTGAGTCAATGTTAGTGGCACATATCTTGGTTATATTTGACATTGTTAAAGCAGCATAAAATCACACAATTGTTTTTGTTCTGTTTCTTTAATTGTATCATTCACCAAATGATTGATCAGCATACACTAGAAAACTCTGCGGCATTTTCATTAGCTGCATTCATAGTACCTTTTGTTAGATTACGAATTCAGAAGTTATCACAGGATGTAGTACAGAGACTGCAACGCTCTTTCTTGCAGGACCTCAGAGGCACTCCTCCATAGAGCGGTATACGATGCCTCAAGTGAAAGAGCAGGTGAGATTCGCAACATAGTGTCTCCAATGATAGCTGTCTAAGCCCATGTGGAAAAAGATCAGTGCGGGCAAGTGTGGTTCGTGTAGATATCGGAAATGATTGATATTAAAGATCGCTCCTTGATTCGCTGCTAAGACAGAATGAAGTAGGCACGGAAAAATTTTTCCTTCAGCAATATTTCACAGGTATTGTAGTTCTTCCACAAGTTAACGGTGTCGTACCTCGTTCTTAGAAGTAGTAAAATTTGCAGCAGTTTGAAAATACATGTGCGAACTGGCCCATCCTGTATTGCTCTCGAATCTTCATACATTTTGCTACAAACGCAGGTTCACTGAGCACTCGCATCATATAAAAAGTTATACTTCGCAAACTTCTTTCGCCGCGAAATTGCTTATCAGTGTTCGGCGAATTGCATAATCTGGCAGTTTCAATCAAAATTGCTCACCCACTATTCATGAAATTTTTCATTAAAGAAATCAGAGCAAGCTTTTTTATCAACTTTCAGTATTGCATTCAACAAAAAAATTCAAGCCATTGCTTCTTTTAGAAAACCATTATCTTCGATCGTGATAATCCCTTCTTTTTTTTTTTTTTTGAAAAGCACACTTACTAGCTTTGCGTATTAGCGTAGAGTCGTGTCTTATCTGAATAATAGCGGACAAAGCGTACGTGTGATTTTAAACAGAGTGCTCTTTCAGAACTCTTTCACCTGATTCTAGTAAGTTTTAACTGAGAAAGATAATGTTGCACTTCATAGACCTTGTGCTTTTATTTTCTCCTTTCAGAATTTTTCGATTGAAGAAAATTTACATCTATTCACTGGAAGAAAGTGTTTTCCGATCGTCGTATTATACGCTTTGAAAAAAGGACTACTTATATTATCAAGTGCAAAATATATACGCACAAATAAAATGTCACTTCTCACAATGTGTGATATAGAATTTATTTTGCACATGCCTTCGGTTTCATTAAGCTGTTTGCTTTTTTATATTATGATACAGTTTATATGCTGTTATGAAAGTGCTTGGAGTAGAGGGATTTATTATTTTTAAGCTTAGAGTGGACAATAAAATGTGATATGGTTTTGTTCAGTTAGCATCTCACTGTTGACACGTAAGTACATTGTGTAGGGTTCTATGATGTAAAGCCATAAAGGAAGTAAGTGAACAAAAGGTAGTGTGTAGCCAGTAAAACGTGAGAAGCACAATTAGCCTACCGTCAAGCTCTGTTGGAAAAACATTTCCTTCAATTAAGGTTCATCTATGTTGATCATAGCGAAGCTGTTCAAAAACATTTCATTTCAGGCGTGATATTTCGGGGGAGTGAGAATTACGAGCTTGTTTGCTTCAATTTCGAATCAGCAATGTAAGGGAATATGATGATAACTAAGAGTGCTGTAAAATGTTACCACAACACAAGCTGAAGAAAATGCAATCGTCTTTGAATGTCTTTCTAGATGGCTTTTTGAGTATTTTTGATATTTAATCATCGCTCTCAGATTGAAGTTCGCAAAAACGAGAAAATACAAATATCAGGTGCATGTTATTCATTTTGTATTAGGCTCACTATTAATAGTCATTTCAATACAACACTCCTACATCACTACTACATATCACAACGACGTTCTCAATATTTTCTCTAGCACGATACCCCTGTCGTCACTACAAAAAAATTTTTGAACTTTGACCACCGAACAGGGGTAAATAGACCGTGACCTTTCCACTATTCAAGGAGTGATGAACTTGATGTTCTAAAGACTCCTAGTTTGGTAGGTCTGTATACGCGAAATCTATCGCACTGATAATCAGTCATAAAAATTGTTAGGAAAAAAATTTGGCAAGTCTCACGTACCTGGAATCGACGTTATGCGAATCTTGAGGAGGGAACGTGACCATGTTGCAATTTTTTTTTATTGAGCGACACGTCATGAGATGACGCTAAGTATATGTACAAATATCGCACGCCCAGACATATGTTGAAGAGTTACAGAGGTTTATATGACCAGTTGTTTGTACTTGTGCAAGGATGACAACTGGAAAATGTGTATTAGCAACACCAGAAGCTGATATTGTCACGTGCGTCGTCGTCACTAGAAGCCACAGAAGACGAGGGTGCGGCAGACAAGGTTTATTAGTAAGGAGGCGTACTTGTGCCTCACGTTTAGGACACAAAAGGAAAACTAACAGGATCGGAGCGGCGTGTCTATGCACAGTTGCTGTTCCACCAAAAGAACAACCCACAGCTTATGCGCTGCCAGTTATTTAAGCGCTGAAAAGACAACACAGAACATGCGCACACCTATCATCAGATACTGCACTGTCTGATACGATAGGCCCATCGGAAGTTAATCGCAGTCCGCTCTAGCCTATCTAAATGACGCGACGGCTGTCGCTCTATAGTGGCAGCTGCGCAGAACGGCATGGCACGTGGCATTGCTCCCCCCTCCAAAAAACATCGCCTCGATGTTGAAAGCAAGCACTGAAGTCATGAGGCACTGAAGTTTTCACAAAAAAATAGAGGAACAAGCGCACATGTCTGCTAGCGCGCATAATAGGGTTTCAAACGCACGACGTGAACAATTTCGGACCGCACACGTCGATGCTGGGAGTCTGTCACACCATCCGGGACGATTTCATAGATCAGTGGCCCTACGCGACGAACAATTTTGTAAGGGCCAAAATAACGCCGCAGAAGCTTTTCACTGAGGCCTCGTCGGCGAACTGGTGCCCATAGCCAAACTTGTTCGCCGGGTGTGTATTCCAGATGGCGGTGTCGCAGGTTGTAGTGTCGGACATCCGTCGCTTGCTTGGTTGCCGTTCGCAGTCGAGCCAGCTGCCTGGCCTCTTCAGCGCGTTGTTGAAATATTGCTACGTCCGGGTTCGGGTCGCCTTCGTTTAGGTGCGGCACCATTGCGTCCAGAGTCGTTGTCACTTCCCGTCCGTAAACAAGAGCGAATGGTGTCTGCCCGGTTGTCTCTTGGGTGGCCGTATTATATGCGAAGGTGACATATGGGAGCACTTCATCCCATGTTTTATGTTCGACATCGACGTACATCGACATCATGTTCGCCAGGGTCTTGTTGAGCCGTTTTGTGAGACCGTTAGTTTGCGGGTGGTATGGGGTAGTTCGGCGATGAGTGGTGTGGCTGTACTGCAAAATGGCTTGCATCAGTTCGCAACAGAAGGCTGTCCCTCTGTCAGTGATAAGGACCTGAGGGTCACCGTGGCGCAGGACAATTTGGTGAACGAAGAAGCTGGCGGCTTCTTCAGCAGTGGCTCGAGCAAGGGCGCGGGTTTCTGCGTAGTGAGTCAGGTAATCTGTCGCCACAATGATCCACTTATTTCCTGCGGTAGACGTCGGGAAGGGTCCCAGAAAGTCCATTCCGATTTGTTCAAAGGGCCTGTTGAGGGTTGAAGTGGCTGGAGTAGTCCAGCGGGTTTTGTTGGCGGTCTCTCGCGGCGTTGACACTCTCGGCACGTCCGTACGTAATGCTTGACGTCTTCTAGAATGCGCGGCCAGTAGTAACGCTCACGGATCCGCGAAAGCGTTCGTGTACACCCAAGATGCCCGGAGGTTGGTTCGTCATGTGACGCCTGCAAAATTTCCTCACGCAATGACGACGGCACGACGAGAAGGTAGGTGCTCTTCCTAGAGTCGAAGTTCTTTTTCACAAGGACACCGTCTTTTAAGCAGAATGTGTGAAGAGCACGCCTGAAAGTTTTGGGTATGCTGGCTCTAGATATTGCTACATTATTGAAATTCAGCGCATGGCACCTAACCGAAATTGATGTTAATAAGACGTGACGGCTCTATTATTGCAGTACATATGTAGATTATGTAATTGGGTGGGCAGCACGGCAGTCATTATTGATGTTTCGCGAAGATTAGCACCTATTCGAAAAGTATAGTCACAAGACCTGGCGTAGCTCTGTGGCCGAATGCTTGACTGCCACGCAGAATGCTTCAGTTTGATTCCTGCTGGGACCCTGAAATTCATAATTTGAATTCTTCAGGGGGACCAGGCTGCCTATATTAGGTTTTTCTTAACGTTAGTATGTATGCTATGCCTTCGTTGGGTCGAGGCTACCGATGTCGGGTATTGATTAGTGCTCGCGCGTTCGAATTGCCCATATGTGTTCTTGTATTTCCTAGGTAGATACTAAATGTCAATCACCTGGGGCACATACCCGCGTACCAGCGGCACATGCCCGCCCGTGGGTATGTGCCATTGTCTGGCGGGAAGCATTAGACGACGTCCGCGGTGGGATTGTGGTAATAATCATGTCTTCACCATGGCGTCATACTCCTCGAACCATCTTAGCTTCCATGATAATTTAGGTTCACGCCAAGTTAAGGGATGACCACGAGAGCAACGAAATGTAAGAGGCTAGATAGATAGATATGCTCAAAGTGGCCGAACTTCGCTAAGAAATGCTTCGCACAAAAAAATGGCGGATCTCACGTACAGCTCGGAACGATGGCATGCGAGGTACGCATGAGGGAGGTTGATATGTCGCTTTTATATCAGCACACCGTTACGAGGTGGACGTAAATTGTTCCATACATGAATTCTATATCATGATTTTCATCTTTCTACGTGTTATGTACCTTCGTATTCTAGTCACGTGATACCAAATTTGGTATATGCGAAGCTCGTGAAACAGCCACGAGCGCGCCTTGAGCGTACCATGTAGTCATGTTTTACATGACAAGCATATCATGATTATCATGTTTAGACGTGTCATGCACCTTCGTCATCCATTCGCGTCCCGTAATACCAAGTTTGCAATGCTTTCAGAGGAGTTGCAACTTGCACCTTGCAGATGTAAAAATAAAATTACCACACTAAGAAAATTTAAAATTTTATGTCACAATCAAGTGAAATTGACAAACATTAAAAAAGAAATTGAGGAAAACAAAACGCACCCAGTTTGCGATGTACTATAATACACTCAAAATGGAAAGGTGCGAATGATTTTAGCAAAGGATGTGCCTTGAAAATTCACTAACTATTTTCGTCAATGTCTAATAGCGGTTGGTAGCAAGTTCCCTTTTTGTTTTTAGAGGCAGTCTGCTAACATTGAAGGTCAATTGATCTGCAAAGGCATTTGTCACATTAGGTATTCAGTATGCACCACTGTTTTCCACAGCTGCTTCTTCTTCTGAGAGCTCTCTTCATTTATTCTTGCAAATTGTAGTGCGATCTTTCGGTACAACTTTCCTCGTATAGCTTATCCTAAAGTCGTAGCGACGTAACAAAGTTACCTTGGATAACGACATTGTCTTAGCACATAATTACTTGAACAAAATTGGCGTGTGCCTATGCGACTGAGAAGGGAGAACCTTGTAATGCCTCCTTCACCGAGGCAGTGAAAAGTGGGGCCAGATGTAGGCATCTTTTTAGACTGGGTGATCTTGCACAATGGACCGAGAAGAAGAAAATTTGCAGACCTCACGTACAGTGGGAATCGATTATAAGCAAAGCATTAATGAGAAACGTTGATATGTCATTTTAAAATCAGTAACGATACAAGGTGGAGGTAAATGATGCCGTACATTACTTCCGTGTAATGATTATCCTGTTTGGATTTGTCGTTTACCTTCATCCTACACATTATACCAAATTTAGTGTATGTGGAGCTAGCGAAACGGCCGCGAGCCTGCTATGAGCGTGGTATGTTATCATGTTCCTCATGACACGCGTGTCAGGATTATCATGTTTGCACCAGTCATATATTTCATCACTTATTGACGTCGTGTAACACCAACTTTGGTATACATTGAGCTAGCAAAACGGCTGCAAGCGCATCATGTAGAGTCCAATATACTCCTATGTAGCGATGACGCGCGCGCATGCTGGGAAAAACGAAGCTACGTTAGCAAAACGCGGGCACTCTATAGTCTGACGCCAGGTGCGACCAGCATCCGT